GCCAAGTGGCATCATTGATGGCATCAAGTGTGGCAGCGATAGTGAGGTTGGCCCAGGATTGGACATTGTTTCATTCTGCTGTGCAAGGGGGTGCTATGAGTTGGTTCTGACTCAATGGCACCTGAAAACAACAATAAAGCAACACTGAAGAATAATGATAAATCTGCAGAACACCTCATAGCATGGAAGAACCTGGAGCACACTATGCTGAGTAAAATAAATCAGTCGCAAAAGGACAACTATTGTATGAGACCACTATTTTAAAATTCAAGAAAATGTTTTCATACTAAAAGTAACATTATTTGATGGTTACCAGGGGTGGGAGGGAAGGGAGAGTAATTCACTGGATACAGCGTAGAGTCGGTTGATGGGGAGTGCCATGTATAAGAAGGGTGATGACAATATACAAGAGAGAGGCTGGCAGAAGAGTGATGAATATAAGTGAAGACACAGGGAGGTATGCAAGAGCTAAAGGGAAAAGAGGTAAGTAGTGATATATATACAACCAAGGTAAAGTAATGTTCTGTGTATAGATACATGGACAGAGACACAAGCTGAATGGGTATGGGAAGAGTGTGATATATATATATATATATAGTTATTTCTAGGTGCCATCGAGCTGGTATTGATTCATAGCAACCGAAGAGTGTGATATATATATATATATGTATATATATATAGTTATTTCTAGGTGCCATCGAGCCGGTATTGATTCATAGCAACCGTGCACAGCAGAATGAAACACTGCCTGATTCTGGGCCAATCTCACTACTCTTGCCATGCTTGAGGCCATTGATGCTGTCACTTTGTCAATCCATCTCGCTGGGTATTCCTCTTTTTCTCTGACCCTCCACCTTACCAAACATGATATCCTTCACCAGTAATTGGCCCCTCCTGACAATATATCTGAAGTATGAGAGATGAAATTTGGCCATCCTGGCCTCCAAGGAGCACTCTGGCTGTACTTCTTCCAACACAGATCTGTTGGCTCCTAAGGGGCTCTGATAGTATAGTGATTGCAAGTTGGGCAGCTAGTCTCAAGGTCAGCAGTTTGAAACTACCAGCTGTTCCATAGGAGAAAGATGAGGCTTTATGCTCCTGTAAAGATTTATAGCCTCAGAAACTCTATGCAGGATCACTAAGAGTTGGAACCAACTCCATGCCATACAACCACAACTATATATATATATATATATACACACACACACAGACATATATATATATTCAAATTTACATACATATATGCTATTGTAATTGTTAAGTGCTCACTCATAGCAACCCTATATAGGGTTTCTGAGGCATGGCTGTTGAGTTTGAACCAACAACCTTGTAGTTCAACTCAGCTGTGTAGTCAAGTGCTTATCCTACAGAGCCACACCATATATATTTTTATATCCCACAAATATCTAAGAGTTGAAAGAGGATATTTGTAGTTGGGTAACCACAGGGATAACTGTTGTTGCATGGAGGAGATTGAAATCATGAAATGAAACAAAAGTATATGACTTGTTTAATGTAAAGCTGATGATCCT